GCCTGACTGTGTAGCTTTGGGAACTGTGGAGCAGATGAGCCGTGTGTGAGCATCACCCTGGAGCCTGGACCCTCCTGGCTTTCTCCTGTCCACCCCAGGCAAAGCCCTGGGATCCCCCAGCCACATCTCCTGGGTCAGCTCTGTGGTTTCTCCGTGGTGATGCTCAGTGTTTTGCCATGTCCCAGTGCTCACCAGCCTCAGGACCCCATCCACCCCTTGCTCACCAAGATCACAAATGACCTTCATTTGTCCTCATCTACCCTGTTGGCAGCCCAGAGTCTCCCCACGTCACTGCTCCACCCAGCTGGTGACATGGCAGGAGGACAGGGGGACAGTTCTATCTTACCTTTTGTGGGGCGCTCGCGCCCAGGTGACATGAAAGCTGCTCCGTGACAGGTGCCATGTGTCTGGGGCAGAGTTCCCCATGGGCCCGGTGGCAGTTAGGGGTGCTGAGCCCCTGATACTCTGCCCCGGTGACTTCCCACAGGGTGTGATGTGGATGTCCATCACCTGTCCCTTGCTGCTCTGCCCATGCCTCATCTGTCCAGGTGCCTCCTCCAAACTTCTGCTGGTTTCATGGCCGTGCCAGCTGCTCTCTGAACTGGAAGGTGGGAATTGGACCCCAGGGTTTGGGGCTGCTGCTGTGGTTTCCTCCCCTTTGACTTGTCCCTTTGCCAGGCCATGGTATAATCCTGCATGGATGGCTCTGAACATCGTTAGGAGTGAATTTTGTGTCTTTCTGACACCCACTTGTATTAGTGGTAAAAAAAAAAAAATAGAACCTTTCACATGGGCCAGTGCGAGCCTTCTGTTCCTCTGTGATCTCCTCCAAGCACAAAGTGATGCTCTGCGATTAATTACTGCAGGATTTTAGTAGCACATCTGGGCACATGTGTGGGAAAGTTTTTCCAGCTGTTGCAGAATCTCGAGTGGTTGAGCTGACGTGTTGGTGGCTGCAGGTGAAGTTCACTGGAGGATGAAGGGGGAGAACCTGCCCTGCTCCGAGTGTTCCCGTAGCAGTGAAGCCGTGTTCACGCAGCGGCGGGCGCTGCTTTAGCTCTGGCAGATCCAAACCAGCTGCTCGGGCAGGTAAAACGGTGGCTGTCAGCGTTGGTGTGAGGGACATGAGCACCCTCATCTTTCAACCCACTCTAGGACGGGGTGACTGTGTGTTCCTACTGCCCGATGGCTTGGCTCCATCTGCTCACTGCTTCCCTTACAGCCCGGGTTTAGGTGACATCCCAAAGCACCAGGACATACTGGTTCCATACTGGTTCATGCCTGGTTGGTTAGTGTAGCCTAGACTACCTCCCAGACTGGTGCAACCCAACCCATCTGAAACGTGGGTGAGGCTGTCGCTTACATTGGACCCAGTGAAACTGCTGCAAAGCCAGACCTCAGACACTGAAATTAGTCTCCAAGAAGTGTCAGACTTGTGTGGTTCTGCACAAGCCTCACTGGTGTCTGTGCTCCCCAGCAATGGAGCTGTCGGGAAAGGATGGGATCGTGGCTTTTGAAGCCCGTGGCCGTATCCAGGCTGAGCCATGCCTGGCACAGAGGATGCTGTCTGTAGGGGTCTGGTTGTGTTTGCGGCAAAGTGGTGGTATGTGGGATGGGGAGCTGCAGGAGGGAGGAAAATCTTGGTTTTTAGCAGCCCTGGGTGTCTCTCTTGCGTGCCTGTGCTCAGAGAGGTCTCTGGCTGCAGGACAGTCACCTCCTGTTCCTCATTCTGCACGGGTCTCAGAGTGATTTGGAGAAGTGTGACTGCGGTCAGTAAACATTGCAATTGGACAGAGTATGGTGCAAAGTACTCTGAAAAAAACATTGAAAGGGTTGCAAAGGAGTCGTTAATTAGGGAACTGGGGTGATGGTCTGTACAGATGCCTGTTATAAGGATTTTGCTTCTGAGATGCCTGGTGCAGTCCCGGACGCTGTGAGCAGGGTGCTATTCCTTTTTTTTTTTTTTTTTTTTTCCCCTGCTACTGCTGACTGGTAGCATAACCTGCTGTTTGGTGTCTCGTGTGGTCTCACAGGCTCTCAGCATGTGCCTGTGGACATTGGGGACTAAGAGGGAACTCCCAGCAACTTCAATCTTCTCTCAGGCTTTCTCTGTGCCTAGCTGTGAGCTGTCACAAGCCCACGTATCCCCAGGACAAACTCCTTTTCATGGTCTCTCCCCACAGAAAATCCATCCTGGCGTGTGCTGGGAGGTTTTGCTGGGATGTGGCTTTGCTGGGGCTGCATCTGTGCTGCTGGGGGCCTCATGGTGAGTCACCTGCCGAAGTCACAGTGACATCGTTTAAACTGCTTGGAGGCCCCCACAACCTTCCCATGGTCTACGAAGGAAAATAAACAAAAAGGGCTTGAACTCCTCTTGTGCAAACACCAGATGAGCTTCACACAGAAAGACCTTTTCCCCTCCTGTAGCCTTACCAGCAGCTCAGAGGAAGGTGCCCCCACTGCCGATGTCTCGGTTTGGGCAGATGAACCCTGCTGTTGGGATCAAGCAGAGCCTCCTCCTTCGCTGCTGCTGTAAAGGGGGGGAAAAAAAAAATGTCCAAAGGGGAGCAGCTGGCCCAAAACAACACCAGGTGGTTTGTCCCTGAGCGTGCTTGCGGATGCCCTGGCCGGGGCGCGGGGAC